GTGCGTCATCAATTCGTAAAGGTTTGAAGAGTCTTGTAATGATTTCTGAGATATCCTTTATATTTTGATTTGACACTAGTAACTAGTGTGATGTGTCTAGTCCTCTCATTGGTGCAGACTGAATCCAATCAGTCAGGTATGCAATGTGGCCACCATTTTAGGTAGCTCACCATCACGGTGTACATTGATTCGATGATATTTAGATGGTTGGAGGCAATCGCCAAGAAGATGCCTTGGAACTAGGTTTCGTGCTAGTTGGCATTCGTCAGCAAAGCGTATCTGCAACCTTAAAGGACGAAACCTAGGTGCAAGGCTTCCTCTTGTCGATTGCCTCCAACTATTTAATATCAGCAAATCAATGTGCACCGTGATGGTGAGCTACCTCAATTGGTGACCACATTGCAAAACCTGACCGACTGATAGAATTCAGTCCGCACCAAACAATGAAAGGACTAGACACATTGCACTGGTTACTAGTGTCTAGTCAAAATATCCACTACAGCCCGAATAGCTTAGTGATAACGTCTCTGACTGCAGCTCTCACTGGGTGGCGCGGGTTCCAATCTCAGAAGGAGAGATATGAACTCCTTCAAGGCTGCAGATACGCCTTGCTGACGAGTGCCAATAGTGTCCAAGGCTTCCTTTCTGCCGATTGCCTTCAACCATCTAATATCCATTATATATTGGTAAAGTGATTTTCTTTATGCTTTCCTTGGTGGCCTTTATTTTGATAGAGTAAATTCATCTCTATACTGACAAAATAAAAGTTATAGTCAACTTGAAAATGCATAAATCAATTTTAGCTTATTTAGGACGCCTGAGAAGAAAAGATGAAATGAAATGAAAGAGAGAAAAAAGTAGAAAGAAGGATGCGAGTTCATCACTCATTCTCCTTCATTTATATCAAATTCACTATTTTAGTAGTAGTAGTAGTAGTAGTAGTATTATATTGAATTTATTATTCACATAATACCAATTTTTCTATCCAAATCAATTTGCCTATCACAACCTACCTCTCTACTTCCAACCACCTACCCGTCTACCCACACCTACCTACCTACCAACCTACCTCACTATGCCTTACCTGTATAAGTAAATAATCCTTCCAACTGATTTCTATTCGCTTCGACTTATCTTTTTTTTTATTAGTAGCAAAAATAAACGATGGCATCATTCCGACTACTACTCACATATATAAGCTGAATCTCATATATATGACAACCCAGTTACCTTATCAGGTCATTGAGTTTTGTAAAAGCAGTGATTAAGAAAAATACGAAACAAAACAAGACAAAAAGTGGAGATAGTAGGCCGAGGTGTTGTTGTAGAAAAGTAAAATAAGAATAGTAATAATAATAATAATAATCATTAAAGTTTCCTCTTACCCTTCCTCTATGCCTCTTCATCTTCTTCTTGGGTTTGAGGATTAAATTTACCGAGTTTTACCTTTCAGAGGGAAGTAAAAACTTTTTTTCTGGTGTTGTATGAACTAAACTAGAAGATTGGGAAGATATGAATCGATGGTTTAATGGTCTACAAGCTCGCTAGCCTTGTAACCAGAAGGTCCTGGGTTCGAAACCCCATCCGCGGTAGGTGCATACTGACGAAGAGTCGCAAACTAGGACGAAACGGCTGGCTGTCCAGTACTCCCAGCTAGTTTTCCAATAGTTCTCTCACTCATGTCACTGCATAATGAAATCATCAAACCGACCAAAGAGAATTCCCTACAAATCAAAGAGATTCTCACTGGCGAATGGCCCTATTCGGGTAGGCAGTTCCTTAGGTTTCTAGTGGGAAGCCGTGACCAAGAGGGTACAGCGAAGTGTGAAGTGGTCGCGCTATATGTCGTCCATGAAATAGCAGAAGTTGGAATTTATCGGATGGACATTGGATTGGTTCCTAGTGGCTGATGAATGGTCTACGAGCTCGCTAGCCTTGTAACCAGAAGTTCCCGGGTTCGATCCACGCGGTGAACGCGTACTACTACTGACGGGTTGACAAACTAGGCTGACAAGGCAGCTGTCCAGTACTCCCTGACAAGTTTTCCAATGGTTCTCTAACTTATGTCACCTCATGATGAAATGCTTTAACTAATATTGGTGTGCCTGAAGTCACATTTTGATCACATCATATCATTCTTTAGAATAAAACTATTCAAGTCAGAGAACACAACTACAGTGATGTTACTAATATGAAATGTGATCAAGACCTGTGATCGATATTTAAACTTTAATTCATCTCATCTGTTAACTGTTAAGGCAGGAGGCTTAGTTAAGTGTCTAACAAACCAAGCCATAGCACTAAGTAGCACAACTAAAACCTAAATGATGAAATAAAACAGATAGAAGAGGCGTTGGTGTTAAACAAAACTATCTTATAAAATTCATTAGGAAGATCAGTAAAGGCCAAAAACAGAATAAAACTAATTGTGAAACTAGTAATGATAACATAAATAAAAGAGAATATTAGCTATTTGCTGTTATACCATATGAAGAGGGGACATCTGAGACCCTATGTAAGATTCTCAATAAATCATGAATTAGGGTGGCATTCAAATCTGCAAACTCACTCAGAGACAAGCTCTGTAGGCTAAAAGACCCGGTGGACCCAATTAAACAAAATAATATAATTTACAATACACCTTGCAATGACTATGAGTTAGGTCAACTACATAGGTCAGACGAGAAGATCGGGAGTAGTCAGATTATCAGAACATGAGAATTTAGCTAAGGTAAGAATGGTTGACCCTGAAAGCATAAGTAATTTAGAAAAAAGCTCAGCTATTGAACTTCACGCATTAACATACAACTACACAATAGGGTGGGATAGAATCAAAATTCTATGAAGTAATCTATGTAGGTGGAGAGCGAGAGAGACTGATTACTGAATCCTGCCTGGTACATCGAGTCTACACCCAACACAACACATGCAACAGAAATGACTCAATGCAAATACCAGAGATATGTATGGAAGATATTATTACCACCAGTCAGTCAGTCAGTCGAATCAGAGTAGGATTATAAATAATCTCAAAATTCCATTTCAATTCACGTACATCACAACATTCCAACAAGTTACTTATTATGACTGTAAAAACACTCGTCTTATTTCCCATCTGATTGTAATTGATCAATAACGCGCATATTATTATTTCTGAATGGACAGTATCTCATACTGAATTTTATTCCAACATCTAACCGATTCCACACATGTATATAAATGAAGCATGGCAGTTGTGTGAATGACTTGATGTGATTATGAGCAGTAATAATTTGTGATCGAAACGTGGTCATCAGTTAATATTACTGTGTAACACTGTATGATTTTATCAAAATAAAATCGTATGTATAATAGAGTTATACTCTACCACAGTGTCCAAGTTTTATACTTATATCAATAGTCCGACCAATAATTGGGCATCCAGTAAGAATTAGACATATGTAAAAAATTACATGTATATATTTGTTAAATCTCAGCGAAATTGAAATAATTAAGTTTTTCCAACGAGGTGTTTCTCTAGCCTCATGTACTTGGCACACTGTCTTCTCACAATATTAATGTAAGTGCATGTATTTGTGTCTACACACATACATGTCAAATGGCATGGATCTGATGTAATCACTTCATATCATGTTGAAACTCGACTCTCTCGATAATTATGTAGTAAGCTCTACGGGTAACAGAATTCTATAACTTTGTTAAAGTCACACGTTATATGTAAGTGTGTATGTATAAAGACTTTCACATTGTAATCTGATGCAGACGTCTCTTTTGGGGACAGTGTAAAATAAGAGCTTTCAACTTGACTTTCCACCCTACACAGGTAGAAAAAAGACGAACTTTGTTTGATTGCATGGAGGATTTCATCATGAGCTGACATCAGTTAGAGAACCATTGTAAAACCTGGGAACTCGTGATGAAATTCTCCATGCAATCAAACAAAATCCCTAGAAAACCAGTACTAGAAAATTAATCCGATGCTCACCAGCGACTAGCCATATTCAGGCAGTTGACCTGGGGTTTTAGTGGGAAGCCATGACCAGTAGGGTACAGCAAGTTGAAGATGAGGAAGTAACTCAACGAAAAAGACATTGCTAAGTGGTCGCGCTATGTTGTGCATGAATTGCCAGAAGTTGGAATTCATCAGATGGCCACTGGATCTGTTCCTAGTGGCTGATGAATTATCCACAAGCTCGCTAGCCTTGTTGCTAGAAGGTCCTGGGTTCGATCCCCTGTGGCCGTTAGGTGCGCACTGCTGAAAAGTCTCGAACTAGGCCGACGAAACAGCTGTCCAGTACTCCAGTGCCGGTTTCCAAATGGTTCTCTAAGTGATGTCAGCTCATAATGAAATCATCCATTCAATCAAACAGAATCCCTACAAAACCATTATTTGAAAATTTATCAAGATTTGATAGCAATCAATATATCACTCACTTGTCTGTTACAAGAGAAACGTTCTGATGAAGAATCCCAAACAAGGACGAAACTGCTGTGTCCAAGATTCTTTTCTAGTTCTCCAACTGAAGCCAATTCATGGTCGAAATCGAAATCAATCACACGCTTGTGGAATCAATACTTTAAAATTGATACCAAATCGTATGAAAATAGTTCGTGTTCATGGACGTTTTTGAAGATTAGACCGTAGAGATGGAGTTTATGTGAACATAAAACTACAGAAAGTAAATTACAGGACTGATCACGAAATGACATCGTCAGTATGCACCCACCACGAGGGGTTCGAATCCATGATCTTCAGGTTACAACCCAACCTAGTAGACCATTCAACCTCTTTAGGATTTGACCCACTGATTAACCCCTGAGTTTAAACTCCTCCGAATTTGTGATGTATAGTTATTTAATGCAACCGCCAGCTAGTCTCACTGATGAGCCGCTGTTCTCTTGCCTGATGACCTGGTGGACCCCGCGGCTAATTACGACTTCTCGTTAGTAAATCAATTCTCGAAAAATTTATTTACTTTTCTTCTGGTTTTTCTTCACAGGGAATGGACAATAATGTTTACGAAGAGAATAGTTCAGATGCACATCTTGATAGGACTGGAAGACAACAAGCCAGCATAGACGCTCATTGTTTTGACAGCATTCAGGATACTTCACAAGAGGCCAGAATACATTGGTAAGTTCCAGTTCTTATACGTATATAAATTTGTAAAATAATTGTTGATGTGCAATTTTAAGAGGATAGGTCAGTAGGCATACATTCTGGTTTTAACTTGCTGTTATATCTTCTACAAGCTATCTTTAAGGTTTTCAGAATTCGTCAGGCAAAGAAATCATCCACTGATTCAAGCTGATGTTAATCAGTTACATTAGATTTTTGGGCATCTAGGATTGAAAATGTGACTAAACAGCTGATCTTTCTTTACTGGTGTTCGTTTACTCTTTAAAAGTCAGATGGTTGTATTAACTGTCTTTTATTTCTTCCCTCGTATTTCGAGTGAGATTTCATTTCTCTCAAGTCTGTGCGGAGATCAACACTCAGCACTCAGAATGAAAAATAAGATCCGGATTTTTAACTCCAGTGTAAAGTCAGTGCTACTTACTATACGGATCAGCGACTTGGCGTCACGCCGCGTCATGAAGGGCACTTCCAACGAACTACACACATCAACATCAACAGTTGTGTTTGCTCAATACATCGTTCAAGATAAGATGGCCGGCCGGAAAACATCTGCAGCAGGGATCTCTGACAATGAACGAACCAACCCAGTAAGAACCAATAATGCAACAAATAATGCAGGAAGAAATGGAGTTGGATTGGCTATGCTCTGAGAAAACAAAACATCAAGTGAAATCTCACGGCAGAACATTGTTGGAGTGGAACCCAAACAGGAGACGGCGAGTTGGTCGTCAAAGTGAGAGGGTGACATGAAGGTGGAGGCCATGTGAAGAGGAGATGAAAGCATGTGAGCAGACGTGGAGCCAGGGAACCGAATGCAATGAAGACGTGCGATGGAAACCGTTTATTCCTGTAGGAACTAAAAAGGTAACAATATTAATATTAATAATAAATTCCAAGTGAGACATACTCCTTCAGTAGCACATCTCCACTTTGTCCTGTTCTCTTTATCCCGCTCTACGATTCCCCATAGTTTCTCAGCTCCTACTTGTACAACCTCCTCCATGTCAACCAGGAACCCATGACCAACTGTTTATTTTATATTTGGATTCCACTCGAGTGATGACCTGGCGCATGATGTCATTCAATGGTCTCTAAAACGCTTTGTCCAATCTACTCCCCCCCACGTTGTTCTTAAACATTTGTTGAGTAACAGGTCCTTGATTGGTTCCTCCTGCTCAGGGCTCCTTGTTGCTTATTTTTTTCTGGCAATCCACCTCATCTTCAATATGGAGCCAGCCGCAAAGGCAATTGTTGCTGAAAGTCCGTAGTGGCCAGTTGGAAATGCTTTTCATGTTGTCAGCGCCAAGTTCCAGACCTATAAACAATGACTGACTGATTTAACACTGGTTGTCGAAGTCAACTGGCTGTTATTTATGTTGAGGGAAGAAGATTCAGAAAGGGATTTCAGAGAGTGATCAAGGCCTGTCCTGCCTTTCCGCTTCTGGCTTTGTCATTCTCATGCGTGCAGATAAGTGAATGAAGTCAGCTCTTTAAAGACTCCCTCGATGACAGTGATTGGTTTGTTATCTTCGACACCTCCATCCAGTCTGTGTTCACTTGAAACACTGTCTTTATTGTACCTTCAATCAGTTTATTGATTTTCACTTGTAAGTCTTAGAGTTTGTGTGACATTTTAGACATAAACTGTCCACCACGATATCACGAACTTCTAGAGTCTTCTTATTCGTCACTTCAATGTATTCCTTCCTTCCTTCTCATATCCCATACACGATGCGCCGCATATTCCAGTTCAACATAGTTAGGAAGATCATCGTGGATGATTGCAATCAGGCAGCTTTATTTATGATGTGATTGTGTTCTCTGAGCCACCTGGATAACTGGTCATTTGTGAAGCTTTCATCGCCCTACTAGGCGACATCTTCAGCGCACACTTCAATTGGTTGAAATGAGCTGCAACAACGTTCAAATATTAGACAGAAGGAACAACAAGAATGCTAGAGAATTTTTAGAAGCCTCTCTGGTATTCCAGTCAATCATCAATCAATAGACACATCGAGATAGACACAATTTATCAACCGATAAGAAAAAAAAACCCTGACACACACAAAGGGTCAAAGTTCAAGTCAAAGAAACAATCAGTTCCAAAATCACAAGTTGCCTCCTAGAAGGTGTTAAAATACACGAAAACAACCAATCACGTTCAAGGTCACTGACCAGGAGAGATGATTAATAAACTCGTGGAAAAATCCAAAAGCTCACTTCAATTCAAAATGAAGTAGGCGCTGAAGATGTTGCCTAGTAAGTAGGGGGCAGTGGAGGCTTTACAAATAAACCATCCAGCTAGCTGAGAGAACACAAGCACATCAAAATCATCCACCTGAGCTACAAATATTCTCTGTCATATCTAGGCAACTTTGTTTTACTCCTATATTCACTTGAATGGCTTTAGTGAGTTTTCCCTTATGGATCACCAGACATGTGGAACTGTTGTCATATAACTGTTGAATAAGGTTAATAAATATATGGGGCACCGCGCTGCATAGTGTTGGAGTATTTTCCAAATTACATCGAAGATTTTTTCAACGTGGATGAAGTTGAGGTAAACAGAGATTTGACGACCACTCCATACTCAGTAACCCATCTCAATATTTCACCCTATTCCATGCAGTCACTTTCAGCTAGCTATACGATTGCCCATAATCTTTCAGTGCCTCCTCATAAGGACTATTATGTTACCCTCTGACAAACGCAAAACTTGTCGTTTAGCGTTCCAGTTACTTTTAAATACCTGCCTGTTGCGTGATGTCACTTGAGAAAGTAATAAAGTTAGTTGAAACATTCTAGTAAGTATCAGTAATGTGGGTGGATTGTTCAGATATGAATTTTCCACACAATTATTTTGTTACATTATGATTCTTAGAAGGGTGTGTGTTTGTGTATGCGCGTGTCTGGGCTATAATCAAAGTTGACTCGTTAGTAATATGCCATAACAATCAAGCAAGAGTAATTTCTTTTTTTTTGATACATCAACTACCTACTTAATTTCTAATTCAGTAGCCAGAAATCTAAAAATGTTGTTACTACCCCCTCTTGTGATATTTACTTACATTTATATGTATCCTCTGTTTTTTCTGTTCAAAAATCTGCAGGAAACCCGTTCCAAATATGTTCAGCTCATCTGGAAGTTACTACTTTCAATCAGTGAATATCGGTCGTGTAAGTCAATCATTTCATTTTCCTGTATATTTATGGGCAAATTGTTGACCTTTTTAAATAATTGTCTTATTGTTAATGGATTCGATTGGTTAAAGGATTGATTATGAGCGGACAGTTATGGAACCACTGGAAAACCAGCCTCACTGCTTCGGGACGCTTCAGCACTATGCAGCCACTGGTATTCGAACCTCTTCATTTGAACACATCAACTAGAAGGTAGAGGCAATTCAATTCACCACTTATGAATTGGAAAGTCAGGTAAAGGAGCTTCCAGAGTTAGATTGTAGCATAAAAAGGAAAGAAAATTGGAGTTCAAACGCCAGTACTTACATGAAATCTACACATACAAGGTGATATTTGGATTTCGGATGATCCCTCCGTACTGCAGTAAAAATAAGATTGGTGACCAGTAGGGCAGAAAAACTAAGTAGTACGAAGGAAAATCTAAGACAGGAAGTGAGGCATATAAGAGCAACTTTGAAACTTAATAATTACCTCCGGAGTATGTGAGAAAATCTAAAAAATAAAATAAATAATAACAATTAGCAACATGCACGGAAGGAGGACAGTACCGACAATAAGGAATCTAAACCATCAGTAGTACTTCCATACACAGAATTTTCTATAAGGCAGGCAGGAATGAAATTGGCTTCACCTACCCACAAACTTACTTAGAAACAAGCTTTGCCGGTTAAAAGATCCAGTGGAACTAATCAAACAAAACAATTTAGTTTATCTAATACCCTGTTGGAATGATTGTCAGGTCAAATACATACGGTGAAACTAGTAGAACAGGGACAGTCAGTCAGTCAGTCAGACTAGTGGAGCACAAAATCCTACCAAAATCTACATTAAAGTATTGATTTTTCGGGATTTCGTTGATTGGTTACAGGATTTCATCATGAGCTGACATTGGTTAAAGAACCATTGGAAAACCTGCCAAGGGATACTGGACAGCTGTTTCATCCTAGTTTAGGACTCTCCATCAGTAGGCCGAAGACATAGCCTAGCGGTCGCGCTAAGTCGTGAATTGGCAGAAGGTTAGAATTCATTGGCCATTAGATCGGGTCCGCGTGGCTGATGAGCTAGGTCAACTTGTAACCAGAAGGTCCTGGGTTCGAACCCTCGTGGTAGGTGCGTACTGCTTAATAGTCCCAAACTAGGCTGACGAAACCAGTGTCCAGTACTCCCTGACAGGTTTTCCAATGGTTCTCCAGCCAATGTCAGCTCATGATGAAATCCTATTACCTGAAAACCTGGATTAGTTGACCCTAATAAGATGATATGAAATGTGGAGAATAGGTCAACCACAGCACTCACTAGATGCAACTACACAAAACACAACTATACAATTAGGTTGGGATAAGATGACAATTCAAAAATCTTACATGACAGGGTGGAGGGAGGAATCGTGATAACTGAAGGTCTGTTTCTCGAATCAACTGCAAATACTTGTAGTAGGAGTGATTCAACACCTGTCCACTTGGATATCTGGAAAATTGTTGTAATTATTTGTAATCGTAGTATTAATATTTCGAGATGACCGAATTATAAGAATCCAAACAAAACACAGAGAGGGCGGAATTCAGGAATTTGTATTTAGCGGAATTATTATGCAATTCATATAAGAAATATTAACAATCAACAGTAAGTATTTAAACAATACAGAGATAGAAATTGTCAATCACCACATCTACCACACGTCGAATATCTCCTTGCGTATTTATAACGATGTCTCGGTTTGCTTGCAAGTAGCTGCGACCTTCTAACTGATTCTGTGATATTATTTTCATCAGTATTATCTGGACTTATTTCTGAATTATCTACAAAATCAGGATTAGTGGCGGAATCATTAAAATAATAATTGGAACGACCTACTTCATTTATTGTCACTTTGTCCAGGTGTCTGTTATGAACTGAGTGATCTTTGATGTCTAATATCTTCACCACTCGATTTCCCATTTTTTGTAGTATGATTCCAACAGAAGGTCTATAGTCATTCCCTTTGTAATAATGTACATTAGAAGTCTGAGAATTCGAGATTTGAAAAGTTTTGCAGGACTTTCACGGGTACTTGTATGCTCTGCATTCAACAGACGCAGTCTATGCATATGCAGTAATTCCTCCATTTTAATCAGTTGCTCTCTCATCTCATTCAGTTTTTCTCGTGTTTTCGACAGTTCGCATTGTAACTCGGCTACCACATTTTTGAAAACAGTTGACGCTTGAGTTGCTGAACTTGTAGTGGAGGTTTTCATTGGATGAGATTGAGTATTTTGAAAAGTTGAAAGACACATTGACTCCATTTTACTAGACAGATTGGGAGAATTATAAGAATGCTGAGTAACATAAGTATTCGAACTTCTGCAAACAGTCTTGATGTGTCCAACTTTACCACATTTGTGACACTTAGCACCCCGAAAACGGCAAGTGCTTCGTAGATGTAACTTTCCACAGGGAAAACACGGTTTAATGTTTTTGATCTCTCGCTGCATTCTATTACCTGTGGACGACAGTTTGGATTGCTTTCCATGACCACTTGTATTTTCGACTTTAGAAAGCATAACATCAGATACTGACGTAGTGGGAGCAGAGTATTCACTGTTGACATCTTCATATGTAATACATAAATCTTTAGCAGTTTGAAAGGTACAAGAAGGAATCTGAATTAACTCTTTCTCTAACTTAGGAATATTGATTCCAGCAATTAGACGATCACGTAGTTGAGTATGCAGCTGATCTCCAAAGTTACACTTTGAAGCTTGTATTTTGAGTTGAAGAATAAAGTCTCTAATCTTCTGGTTGGGAGCACGAACCAGTTTATTGAATTGAGCCCTCTCTCTGGTCTCAAAAGTAGTTACATGAAAGTGATTTATCAGAAGTTCACGAATCTTGTCATATGACAGAGAAATGGGTTTATCTGGAAACGCCAGAGTCTTTACTAGGCTATATGCATCTAGCCCAATAGCAGTAATGAAATGTGCTGGAATTTTGTCATCCCGAACGTTCTTTGAAATGCACCATGCATCGAAGCATTCAAGATAATCAGCAATCTCCCGCGGTGAACCATTTATAGGAAATTTTCCATGGTTATTTAGTTCCATCGCGACGCCAATTTGTTGTAATTATTTGTAATCGTAGTATTAGTATTTCGAGATGACCGAATTACAAGAATCCAAACAAAACACAGAGAGGGCGGAATTCAGGAATTTGTATTTAGCGGAATTATAATGCAATTCATATAAGAAAATATATTAACAAGCAACAGTAAGTATTTAAACAATACAGAGATAGAAATAGTCAATCCCTAGAAAAATTCTATTACCCCTGCGACAATGAATGGGAAAGAAGGAAGAATACTATAAAACGAAAGTTCCGAATTTGTGTAGTTACAATTGGTGATACGTTTATGAGTAGTCAATAAATTGTGTTTGAAACTTCAAGATGCAGCAAATAATTCTATTTCACTCACTGTGTGATATATCTAATAAACAAATTAATATTGATTAGTTACAGGGTTTCATCATGAGCTGACATCTCAGTTAGAGAACCTCAGGTAAACCAGTAATGGAGTGCTGGACAGCTATTTCGTCAGCCTAGTTTGGGACTCTTCAACAGTACGCACCCACCCCCGGCGCTCGAACCCAGGACCTTCTGGTTACAAGTCTAGTGAGCTCATAGACCATTCATCAATCACTAGGACTCGATCCAGAGTGGCTTCCAACTAGAATCCCAGGTAACTACCTACCTGAATAGGGCCAGTCACCAGTGAGCATTTTATTGATATTCATGTATTGGTTTGTAGGGATCCGATTGATTGGTTTTCAGCTCATGATGAAATCCTGTATCCAATCAATCGAATCCCTACAAACCAATACTTGATGAAATTAATATTGAATTGTATACTATCACAGTGCTCAAGTCTTATACATTTCTCAGTCGTTGTTATAGCACAAACAACGGGGCATATTTTTTACGCATTAATTCCCCCTTCTATTTCTCTATCCATTTTCTTTAACCAAATTTTAGTGTCATGATAATCTACTGTCCGATACTCCATTAGCGTTTACAAGTCAAACACCACAGCCATCGGCGGACATACCGTCATCATCTACCTTGAATGAATACCAACTATCAGGTATATTATCATCCACTCTGGATCCTTCTTTGGATGATATGAGCATCATAAATAACAATAACAACACGAATTCTCTTCTAATGGATACCTCATTCTTATCAACTGTGCCTGAAGAAGATACTGAACTGACCAGTTCAAGTAAGACAACACCAAAACAAAGTCCTTGTAAACAAATCTATGTGTTAAAGCGTATAGAACAAGGCGATGATCCCGATGATAATGACGGTGGTCATGGTCATGGTGACAGTGGTGGTCGTGGCGGTGTTGTTGTACACAGTTCATCCGAGTCTTCATCACCAATTACTGTGTAAGTTATTACTGGGTGCTTCTTTTTCCTTTCTTTCTATAGTTTCATAAAACCGTTTTATTCATATATATAAATTCGGGGAAAATTATTATGAGTTGACCAATACACCCGTTCATCATTTCAGGTCATCTTTGCCTCTTACCAGTACTCTGATGTTTCAGGCTAGAAATATCTGCATAACCAACAGTCTTCACGTTGGATTAAAACCACAATGGAAACCAGATATGTCTGCTTAATTCTTTGTCATGAGAAAAATTGGAGAGATATGCTTGTAAACTGTGTTGATGAAGCTCCTGTATATGACTTCACTGTTCAAAGGTGACACAGACACTGAATTACTGACTGGCATTGAAACTCCGAAAATGTAATAGCTAAACATTCTCTTTTTTTTATTCCTTTACGTCCCTAGTGCAACAAAAAGCTTCAATCTAGAGACGTGAAGATTCTATAACAGTGGTGTTTACTTTTACGGCATGTGGTTGCTAGCTCCATGCCCAGCCTTCCCTATTTACCAGTCTTATTACTGGTTTAGGAAGGTAAGTGAGTGCGTCAGGTGGGAATCGAACCCCAGACCATATGCGTGGTTGGAGAGCATTCTACCCCTGTGCCACCAACACACACACACAAAACATTCTTTACCACATCTCTATTTTTAAAATTCACCACTCTTTCGTTGTATAATTCGAACACATAGATGAAGAACAAGCTACCCAGTTTGGCCATTTCAGTGGGTTTTTTTTGTAAATTGAACAATTCTCGCGGAGACAATTACATAGGTAAAAAAAAATGACTTGGAAAGCCCCTCATCGTCACCTTCTTGAGCGTTTTATCCAGCGTCATTAGTTAGGCAAAGAAGTTGTAAAGTCGATCAGGATTTTCAGCCAAGTTAAACTTTCAGCATCACTAACTACCAATGGAGTGCGACCGCACCGATGACCTTGAAACGCTCACTAAGCAAGTTACTGACACCTGGCAAATAATGTTGTCATCATCAATCAAAATAGGCTCATCGAAGTGTTATGCTATTCAATGGGATATCTGACAAGTTTCAGCTTAGGTTGGGGAAAGATTAAGTTACGCTGCAAGCCAAGGTTAAGTTAGGGGTTAGGTTAACCTAATCGAGGCGACATCAGGGTTGGTTTGCGTTAGATTACAGTTAGTTAAGGGATATTTTCACGTCAGATTCAGGAAAGATTAGGGTTATTGTTAGGGTTAGAAGACCTAAATAATTACATGCGTAGAATGTGGTTAAATTTCTCTATTGATATAAGAATAGGACTTGTGCACTGTGTTGATAGAGTATAATTCCAATGTGGGTAAACTTTATTCTGATGAAGTCTCACGGCGTGTTATACAGTAATATTTACTAATGACCATGTTTCGAGCACAATCTACTGCTCAGTAAATATTACTGTATAACACGCTGTGAGACTATATCGAAATAAATTTTACCCACAATGGAATTATACTCTGTGGATACTCCAAACTTAAACTGAGAGCCATTTTCTTCAAATGTGAGAGGAAGGTATCCTCTGTAACACTTTTATACAGTTTTTATACACTTTATCTTCATATATTTAAATGTATTCCATACACATAAATGCCTCTTTCACGTGATTGGTGCTTTTCAAGGTCATTTGTTGATTGGTCGTCAGTGGTACTTAAAATTTAACTTTACCGGATTTTCTTATTATTGACACACTTTGAGGAAAAGTTTGTCTAATTCCTTCCTCTCTCCCTCCCTCTGTCTCAGTGACACCGTATAGTTGTAAATATTATTCTTATTTTTATTTATACTACTAACTTAATTATCAGTATCATATGATACAACTATAGTTGCGTATTTTAACCTTCGTTTCAAAATTTATCACTATTCTGATTATTATTTCCCTTGATTCTCCTCGATTCTACAGATTGATCCACACTGTACTTTGATTGGACACTAGTAACTAGTGTGATTTGTCTAGTTCTTTTATTTGGTGCAAACTGAATTCTAACAGTCAATCAGGTTTGCAATGTGCCCATCATTCTAGGTAGCTCACCATCACGGTACACATTGATTTGATATCACTAGTCGGTTGTAGGCAATCGCGAGCGCGAATGGCTGCTCAGTGGTAACGTCTCTGACTGCAGCAGTGCACTGGGTGATGCTGGTTCGAATCTCAGAAGGGACATGAGTTCCTTCAAGGTGATTGCAGATACACCTTGCTGACTGACTGGTGAGTGCCAACAAGCACGAAATCTAGATCCCGAAAAGGCTTCCTGCCGATTGCCTCCAACTATCTAGTATCACCAGATCCACACTGTTTCAGATATCTATGATTGATGATCAATAATAATGTAATTGCGTGAAGCCTGGTGAGGATTTACCGGAAACGCTTATTTACCAGCTTAAATCGTATTATTCAAACCAAGAATTTGGAGACACGAAACTTTTATTGCGCCTAAAAAGAAAGTCTACATCAACTTGGATTTCAAGGGAGATTTAGCAATCGATATTCCCAAGAGAAGGATTACATCATTCCTGAGAAGAACATTCTTTACAGCAACACTAAGAATAGTGTTCTACAGTCGCCCACTGATCTGCAGAAACCTCAAGGACAACATCCTGCATCTGACCACTTCTATGTGCATATATCAGTTCACCTGCTGCTCTTGCGGAGTCAGCCAGGTACATCGATCGTTCGACGCGCATCCTGTCCAAGAGAACTCAAGAACACTATCCAGCCAAGATGGTTGCGAAAAGGCAATATTGGTGCAATAAGGAGTGCGATAATTCAACACCTGGTTAACAATGATCATTCCATCTCAACAACAAACGCCCCCTGCTTCAAAGTAATCTACAGAGTCAAGAATGACCACCTATCAAAGGCAATACGGTTTCGTCTTCTTTATATCGCTGAAGCTGTAGCCATTCACATAGAAAAACTGGAGCTGTGCATACAAAAGAGGATTACTCAACCACTCCTACTGTCATGGTAACAGCCTTTTTTGATTTTGATGACTTAATTTTGTTTCTCTACCCGTTCTTTAACTGCTTATAATTCTTGTATTCACTTAGATCTCTTACATAGTTTCGTATTATCTACTTTGTTTCTATGTGCATCCTGAGTAAAACTCAATCATCAAACAAATCACATTATTACATAACGTCTTTTTTAACAAGTGTTTGTGACAACTCATCACCTTTATTACTACCCTAATTTCATTAACACCTAATTTTCTTGACTTGTATTACCAACCTTCACCTATTTAGTTAAAATAACCCTAACCATTTGTCTGTTTTTGTTTGACAAACTTAATGTACGCATACATACAAAATAACACATATATATTTGCGATTGTACAGCTACGCGTGAATGAATTCGCCGCCGAAAAGAGACTCTTCGCTGATCTACGTGTTTTGTTTCCATTAATGCCTGGATGGGGATTATCCCTGTGTTTTGAAATGATCTCAATGGAAATATTTAGATTATTGAAAACTGTATACAATTGGTGGATGGTGGCTAGCAGTGGAATCCAGGATAAAGCGCATTTCGTCCTATTTGGGACTCGTCAGCTGGATGTACCTGCATTTCTCAGTGAGTGATGATGTTCCCACCGAGGCTCGAACCCAGTACCCATAGTTTCAAACTCCAAAGCGTTATCTACCATCCACCAATTGTATACTAATTAAATGCCCAGACATCGTCGAAGCATCTGCACAAGAAGCCGACATGTCAACCTGAGACCGAGCACTTTGGTCCAAACAATCGACGGGAAAATCAAAAATTCAATTCAATATATTGAAAACTGTAATCAAGATTTGATCAAACAATTCCAAAATAAAAGGGCGCTGAGTGAGAAGTAGACATTTGTAAAAATTGTATTTGTAAAATCTCAGCGTAACTGAAATACTTTATTATATAACAACCTTTCCTACCGTTCAGTAAACTGATCTTAACTTCTCCACGGGAAATTAATCGTAATTCCTTTGCGTTCCGAGTGGAATATAGGGCTTCAACAACACATCTTCACTTTGTTCTGTTTTCTGCCGTCCTCTACAGTTGGGTCCACGACTGACCAGACTCTCTCATCTCTTTCTCATGCGATTTCCTCCGTGTCACCTGGGAGGATTCCACTGGAAGCATTGCCTGGAGTGCAATGTAATTCGGCGGCCTTCTCAGTGTATGCCCAATCCATCTCCATATACTCACACCATATATATTTGTTGAGCAATCAATTCTTGGTTGGGTTTGTTCCCATAGTTTCTTGTTACTCATTCTTTGTGGCGGACTATTTGATCTTCAGTATGGAGCCAGAATAGGCAGCTGTTAAAGAAAGCCTGCAACCTGTTGGAAATCCTTTTCGTAACTCACACGCAGTGCAAGTTTCTGACCCATGCAGGAGCACTGACCGACAACACACTGGTGATGAAAATGCGAATCATATTCCTCATAAAATTTCAATGCATATATAAAAAAGGCATATCTTGTCTTTAAAAGCCTTGTCTAATCATATGGGTCATGAAAAAGGCATGAAAAAATATAACAAGCGAAATTACATGAGCTGTGATCAAAATTTGACTTCAGACACACAAATATTAGTTGGAGGATTTCATCATGAGATGATATCGGTTACAGAACTATTGGAAAACCTGTATGGGAGTTCTGGACTGCTGTCTCGTCAGCCTAGCTAGGGATTATTCAGCAGGGGTTCGAATCCAACACCTTCTGGTTGCAAGGTGAGCTAGCAAACTATTAAGCCACTGGAACCCAGTCCAATGGTCAGTCTGTGAATTCAAAGTTCTGCCAATTCGTGCATGACATAACGTGACTATTTAGAAATGTCTTCCTCGATGAGTTATTGTCTCACCTTCAACCTGCTGTACCCTACTGGTCAAGGATTCCCACTAGGAATCCAGGTAACTGGCTGAATATGGCCGGTGTCTAATGAGCATCAGATTAGTTTTCAAGTATTGGTTTTTGTAAGGATTGTGTTTGACTGGCTGAAGGATTTCATGGTGAGTGGTCGCGCTGTGACGTGGAGTTAGAATTCATGGTCCATTAGATCGGGTCCCAGTGGCTTAATGACGTAAATGCTTGTCAGCGTTGTAACCAGAATATCCTAGGTTTTAACTCCGGTGGTGGATGCGTCCTGATGAAGAGTTCCATACTAGGCTGATGAAACAGCCTGACTGATCAGCTCATGATGAAATCCTCCAATCAATCAAACATTATCCCTCCAAAAACAAACATTATTCAAATTAAAACAATTAGTCCCTTTGATAAATTTGAATAAGGCATTATTCGAAAACTACATAACTAGCAGGAATTTGGAATTTATGGGCCATCGGAATGGGTCAGCTAGTTCACTTTTTAACCGGGACGTCCTGAAGTTAGAATGCAATTTGAGTGTATATGGAAACACATCATCATTCACTGAGGATTACAGATGCACTGAGGTAACAAATTGTGATTCAGACGAAATGACACTGTTAGTCACCACCAAATAACATGGAATGAATATTATACCCAATCCACAGAATTTACTCAACAATGATGTTCAGACAATATGTGATTGACTAATTCCCACTGTACTCATCAACTCTGAGGTTCAGTTGTTTGTTAAACTATTATGACAATAATACCATATTAGTTTGTTTATTAGATGTGCCACGCACAGTGTGAAACAGTATGAGTATTTACTGGATGACGTTTCGTATAAAATTTATTGTTCATAATCATTTCATCAATTATAATCACATGACTTTGAAACTTAAGTTTTATAGTTTTCTTTATCCTCTCCTATTTGTCGTCGTAGTTAGGGTAGTAGAATTTTCCAGATATCTGGGTGGACACGTGTTGAATCAATCCTACTACATGTATTCGCAGTTGATTCGATAAACAAAGCTTACGTTATCAATCTCTCCGTTCCATTCGGTCACATTATATTTTATTTATTTATTTATTTTTATTTTTGATTACAGCTTGATTCCACAGCGTATTTTTGGTACAAGTATGGAATTTTCAGCATGGATATCGGTAGGCCAAATTTTGCAGGCCGACCATAGATATCAGGTGTGCGTCGGCGTGGGCTCGAGCCCCGGATCATGTGCATGGTCGGCGAGAGTCCTAACCACTGTGCCACCAACGCACTAAAATACTCCGTCCGAAGACAGAGCTGAAAAAATGAGACAAGACTCATTGTATTGTGCCCCCCCCACGGAAATCTTTAGTAAAAGGCGGAAGATTTATCCGCAAATGAGGAGACACTAGAGACACCCTAACTCTAACCAGAGTTAAAACTGTCATTCTATCCCATCCCATCCTATTGTATGATTGTGTGTAACTGCATGACGACATGAAAGTCAAATGTGCGCAAGACAACACCAACAACAAGGAATCTAAATCATCACTAGTAATTCCACACAAGGAAGGAACCTTGGAAACCACCTCACGCAGAATTCTTAACAAGGCAGGCAGAAATATAAGTGGCTGTCATTCAAACCAACCACAAACTCAATTAGAAACAAGCTTTGTCGGTTAACGGATCAATCCCGTGGAGCCTTTAAAACAAAACAATTTAGTTCATCTAATACCCTGCCTGCAATAATTGTCAGGTCAAATACATAGGTCAGACTAGTAGAATAGGGGCAGTCAATCAGACCAGCCGAACATCAAAACCCAGCATCGAAATCTAGATTGGCTGACCCGAATAAGATAAAAAATCTAGAGAATAGTTCAGCTATAGCACTCACTACATGCAGTTACTAACAACCTTACAATAGGCTAGATAGGATAGGATGACAGTTTTCAAATCTAATGCCATAGGGTGGATGGAGGGAGAGATTGATAACAGAAGCTTTGTTTATCGAATCAACTGCAAATACGTGTGTATTAGGGATGATTCAACACCTGTCCAGGAGGATATCTGGAAAATTCTACTACCCTAACTACGACGACAAATAGGAGAGAATAAAGAAAACTATAAAACTCAAGTTTCAAAGTCGTGTGATTATAATCGGCGGTATTGTGGTGAGAGCAGACTACTAGCCAGTTGGTAGACAATAATTTACGTCAATGTCAAGGTCATTAATACTGTCCCTGAGAAAATATGAACAAGACCGATTCAACAACCAATCACAGCAGAATTAACGTGGGCAAATACGATTCGCAGACATATGGCTTAACTTTCTGAGTAACCAGTCACAAGCAGTACAGAATAACTTTGAGCAAGAAACAACCAATCAGAAGACTGTGTTTGTCTGCTTGAGAAGCTATAATAATGTACATGAAATATATATAAATACGTGTTGAATTCCGTAATAAAACGATCTGTTGCCTGGCCCTTGTCTTCTGTTGTTACAGTATGATTATGAACAATCAATTTTGTTCGAAACGTCATCCAGCAAATAATACTGTTTCACTCACTGTGTGATGCATCTAATAAACAAACTAATATGGAATCGCTTAATACCACAGTGTCCAAGTTTTACACAGATATTATTATTATGAAAATACTTTGCTTTAATTTTTTGAATACGTTGGCGATCAGTTGGCAATTGAGTCGACTGTTTCTAAATATACATATCTTTTTTTAATTTAGACGGCGAACTCCACATTCTGCTGAACAAAAAACCAAAGAAACTGACAACTTCACTTGTCCATCCTGTCAGGCATTTTCTGATACCGCTGCTTCTGCTGTCGAATCAACATCATCCTCTTCAACACTATCCAAAGAACAGTATTCCTCATCACCACCACTTGTTCAAGATAATTCATCAACCCGAGTCAACAGAAAACAAAAGCGTTATCGTAGCTCGAGAGCACCTGCCCCACCACCACCTCCAATTCACCCTAAGCTGGTAACGTCATCCTCTGCGATGCAATCCGCTCCGACTACTTCTATTCCACAAGGACATCAGTTGACACCGCCACCGCCTCCACCGCCTCCTAGGTCCTCACGTAATGATGATACACCGTATACAAGTGAATCAGATATAGAAGAACAGAATTATAAAAATATACCTCCAAGAAGTAGACATCATCAGTGCAAACTGACGGATTCTTCATCCAGTCCGTAAGTCGACCTCTTTAAATTATTATTTCCTATAATTCCTAGAGGAACATAGGGCTTCAGCCGCGCGTCTCCATTGCCTTCTGTTTCCTGCCAATTTTTCACTCCACTCCAAGTCTGCCCACATGCTTTCATCTCCTCTTCACATCACCTCCTCCAAGTCACCCTCTCACTGACGACCAACTCGCCGCTTTCCTTTCGGTGGGTTCCACTCGAGCAAGAGCTTGTCTAGTGATGTCATTCACTTGATGGTTTCCTCAGAGTATGGCCAGCCAATCCATCTCCGTTTATTCCTGCCTATTTGTTTCACAATCAGTTCCTGTTGGGTTGGTTCGCTCATTGCTGGAGATCCTTGTTGCCGATCTTTTCTGGCCATCTGATCTTGAGTATTGAGCGAAGACAGCTGTTGATGAAGGTCTGTAGTTTGTTTGAGGTGCTGTTTATGACGCGCTGGTCAAGTCTCTGATCCGTATAGTAGCACTGACTGACTTCACATTGGAGTTGAAGATCCGGATCTTATTTTTGATCATGAGTGCTGTTCATCTGCTCTACACAGACTTGAGGGAAATGAAGACTTGTCTTGCTTTTCCGATCCTTGCTTTGATCCCCTCATCAGTTCCGTCCACCAGTAGTTGAAACGATGCTTCCCAGGTAGGTAGGTAGGTAGGTGAAGGGGGTTGTTTCTTTAAGGTTCCTCCTATTAATGCTGGCCGATTTTTGTCTGTTGTTGATGTCGGTGTTGGCCAGGAATCTTCTTCACCTACCTCTGTTTTCTGTATGTTCACCTGAAGGAAGTCCTATCTTCTCTGGATGCTTCTTCTGCCAACTTATTGCTTTTCACTTGCATATCTTCCAGTTTGTGGGAAATCAGACATACTTCACATCGGCGAAGTCCAGATCCTCCAATTTTTATGTGTGAGTCCATTCTATGCCTGTTTCCTCATTGCCCACTGTCTGTCTGTCTGTCACATCAGCCAATCTACTGCCATCAGGAAAATCATTGGCAATAGTAGACCTCTTCAAATAAATATTTCAAACACTTCCCATTCCCTCCTCCTCCAATTAGACATTTAGAAGACACAACTTCTTCTCCTTTATCTGGCTGTACAGTTCTTACTGGCACGTACGGCTTCAACAGCACAACATCTCCATTTTGTGCTGATCTCTGCAGTCCTTCTTTTTGCTGGCTGCACAAATTGTAGCTTTCCCTTTGTTGGAGTTCAGTTTTGCTATCATTATCCATTCAGGAGGAGACCGATGTCCACTGCATAAGGGTATTGGCTACTATTGATGACACCATGACAGCCACTCCCACAACGTACTCGTTGTTGTCGTGTCTGGCTGACCGAAGTAGATTATTGTTGTCTCTCTAGTTGACTATTTGGAGAGTCCACATTCATTCTATCTGTTCTCACAGATTCCTTACACTTTCATGGTGTATATTCTCACATATTTGAAAACTTGGGTAGCCTTCCCAGCTTCTTACATACTTTCCACCGAAATTCCACACTCCAAAGTTTATTTTCGCTTTCATTGAAAGAAGATACATCATCTGAGCAGCTTCCTGAAGACTTCCATCAATTGCCATCAGTTTGTTTCTCCGATTCTTCTTGTGCTCTGAGTTTTCTGTGGCGATTCTATCGATTTTCTCTAGTCCCATGTTTAACCTTCTTTCTTTTCCTGGGCTTAAAACCGATCGGAAAATTGGTGAACTAGTAAGCTAGTTGAGGTTAAAAACAGTAGCGTTTTGTTACATTTTCATTTCTATGTATCCTCAGTGAAACATGGTACTTCAAGCAAGACCTTTTATGTTCCAGCAGCTGTGGTGTTCTTGTACGAAGTAGGGTTTGCTAACCTCAAGTTCAACGTTTCTTCTTTATCGACCTTACAAGAAGCTAAGGGAAACAAGAGTGTGTGCCAGCCGGAATTCGAACCCTAGATCACATGAGAAGTAGTTGGTGAGCATTCCGCCACATAAACAATATCACAAGATTTCTCTTTACTGACAACATTAATGTAATTCAGGAGAAGTTGGAATTCATGAGTTGGTCAGTGGATCAGGTCCCAGTGACTTAATGGTCTACGAGTTCACCTTGTAACTAAAAGGCCCCCCAGTTCGAACTCCTGTGGTTGCGTAGTGCTGAAGAGTTGCAAACTAGGATCAGACTGTTGTCTAGCAGTACTGGCACAGTTAAACTTTAAGAATCAGTAACTACCAATCAGCGAATGACCTAGAACGCACCTATCCCATGACGGAGGCATTTATGTGTATGGAATACTTATAAATATATGAAAAAAGTGTTACTTTGGATAAATTTCTCTCACATTTGATAAAAACATCTCCTAGTTTAGCATAGGAGTATCAATTGAAAAGTTACAACACATCCTTTATAAATATTGATCTAAATGACTCTGAATGTCATCACTCTGCGATCTATTAATGGCTCTAATCCTGTTTTTAAACCTTCTCCAAAAGCCTTTGATAGAAATGGTGTGAGTCACTATAATAGGATCTACAATACCATTCGAATAGTCGACTGTGTGGTGATTACATCCAGGGAATGACGAAGGGTTATAAACTTTCCACCCTTCTCTGTGTGTATTATAGATAACTGTTTGAACAGTCAAGTTATGATAGGTATTAAAGTATTTGACTTTCTATCTGCTATCCTCTTGACGAACCCTTTTGTTGGAGAGGTATCATATAAACCAATCACCCAAAAGTCATTCACTCTTTCTCGACCATGCTCGTGCTTTTTCTTTGATTAGATAGTTTCATCTACATGCACGACGACACCTCCTCGCAATAATGAAGTAAGCCTCTCCAATTTCCAGGATGTGATATCTCTTCAGTGCTGGTGCCATCAGAACTTTTAATATGGCATTATCTTCAGTTTCAACATCTGCACCTCTCACAAGCTGTTTTGTAACCCAGTAATTACAAATAACAAAAGTGTGAGTTAAGGAAAGATGGGATTTGGCGAAAAATGTTCCTACGTAGTACTAGGATCATCAGCTTACCTTCCAAGACATTAACTCATCTGAAGCGAATTTCACAGCGATGCACATGTCCATCAACCGACTTGCTGAAGCTTTTTATATTCATCACAACTCCATATGAACTAATCCTTTCTTTTCTAATCAACCTCACATCTAAGCCACGATGCAAGACTTGGTCTTTACCAAATTTCAAACTTAAATGCGTTCGAGCAGACATTTCAATCGAATCAAGCAGGACAGAAGCTTTAACTTATTAGTATTATATCCTTTAATTCCTAGAAGAACATACGGCTTCAGTTGCGCGCCTCCATTGCCTTCTGTTTCCTGCCAATTTTTCACTCCACTCCAAGTCTGCCCACATGCTTTCATCTCCTCTTCACATCACCTCCTCCAAGTCACCCTCTCACTGACGACCAACTCGCCACTTTCCTTTCGGTGGGTTTCACTCGAGCAAGAGCTTGTCTAGTGATGTCATTCACTTGATGGTTTCCTCAGAGTATGGCCAGCCAATCCATCTCCGTTTCTTCCTGCCTATTTGTTTCACAATCGGTTCCTGCTTGCTTGGTTCGCTCACCGTCAGATATCCTTGTTGTTGATCTTTTCTGGCCGGTTATCTGGTATTAAGTATTGAGCGAAGACAACTGTTAATGAAGGTCTGAAGTTTGTTTGAGTTGCTCTTTATGACTCGGCACCAAGTCTCTGATTCGTATAGTCAGATTAAAATCTTTCATGGAAACAGGAGCTGCAGATAGACCACAAGCCAAGTTCAACACTCAAAAGCTGAAGGACCAGGCTACAAAGGACATCTTCATTGTAAGCATAAAGGACAAAGCTGAGATACAAATCAACACCAGCGAAAAGGTCAGCGTCGAAAAGCACTGGAACAACTTGAAAACGGTGTGGAGCCAAACCTGCATAGAAATTCTAGGCAGAAAAAAGAGACAGGACAAACAGTGGCTCACTACGGACACTTGGAAACTAATAGAAGAGAGAAGGACAGTGAAGCAAAAGATTATCCAGTGCACTGACGAGCAACAAAAACAGGAGCTGAATGCAAGCTACAATACACTGAACAAAAGAGTGAAGAAGAGTGCCAGGGAAGACAAAAGAAAATATTATGAAACCATGGAAAACGAAGCAGAACAAGCTGCAGGCAAAGGAGACCTCGCCGAACCCTACCAAACAACTAGGAACCTTTCGGGCAAACGTTCGACACAGATTAAGCCAATAAAGGACGACAATGGAAAGTCAATCGCCAAAGAGGTGGAACAAAGAAAACACTGGGCCGAACACTCCAAAAGACTTCTAAATCGTCCGCCACCTGCAACACGCCCAACAATACCAACAACAGAAGCAGAACTACCAGTAAACATTGACCCCCCGAAGAAATCAGAAGTCCTGAATGCAATCAAGATGCTAAAAGCTGGGAAAGCACCAAGACCAGATGGAATTCCAGCAGAAGCTTTGAAAATAGAGCCAGAGACCACAGCGGACTTGATGACGCCTTTGTTGGAGGGCAAAGTACCCGAATATTGGAAGAACGGATACTTATTCAAACTACCAAAGAAAGGAGACTTAAGTCAATGCAAGAACTGGTACACCATTATGCTCCTGTCCATCTCAAGCAAAATACTAAGCCACATCATCCTGGAGAGAATCAAACAAGCCACTCTGGATGAAAAATTTCGATCGGAACAAGCTGGATTCAGTAGAAATAAGTCATGTATTGATCAAATCGCCACTCTACGGATCATCATTGAACAAAGCTTGGAATGGCAGTCACTTCTCTACCTCAAATTCATCGATTTCGAACAGGCCTTTGACCGACAGCCAACGGCCAATGAAGAAACAGGCATAAAATGGACTGAAACAAAAGACTTGGAGGATCTGGATTTCGCCGATGATATATGTCTGATTTCCCACCAATTGGAAGATATACAAGTGAAAAGCAACAAGTTGGCAGAAGAAGCATTCAGAGAAGATAGGACTTCCTTCAGGTGAACATAGAGAAAACAGAGTTAGGTGATGAAGACTCCTGGCCAACACCAACAGCAACAACAACAACAGACAACAATCAGCCGGCATAAATGGGAGGAACCTGAAAGAAACAACCTCCTTTACCTATCCACCTACCTGGGAAGCATCGTTTCAACTACAGGCGGAACTGTTGAGGCTGGTCATTTGATCTTCAATATAGAATGAAGGTGGCTATTGATAAAGGTCTGCAGTCGTCTGTTGGAAATACTTCTTGTGTCATGTGCAAACAAAACATGTAGTTCCACAAAGAGGCTCCTTTCGGCAAATTCATTTCCCTGGTTAACTCAACAGTTGGATTTATATACAAGTAGGATTTTGTAGGGATTTTTAGTCTGATTGGATGGAAGATTTCATCATGAACTGATATATTAGTGGGAGAACCATTGGAAAACCTGAGAGTACTAGACAGCCGGCTGTTTCGTCCTAGTTTGGGACTCTGCTTCAGCAGTACGCACCCATCACCGGGGCTCGAACTCAGGACCTTCTGATTACAAGGCCAGCGAGCTCGTAGACCATTTTATCGGATCCCAATACCTCAATGTAAACTGATATACACATTTTGATGTGGCGAGGATTTTCGTATCTTATCTTTACCCCTTGCTTGTACTGTTCCCTTTGTTGTGTTTATGAGTAACACATGTCAGATGCATAATAGGTTCATCTAATGGCTTTCTCTAAAAACGACGTTTCACCAACACTGAGTAACAGTATCTTCCTTCAAAGGTAACTTTATATAATAAACCTTCATTTTAGAAACAATCTCTGATGTTATCACTTTTCCTTTCTTATCTTTTGAATGCTTATTTATAAACTCTCTCAAATACCTCCATTTCTCACTAGTATCTCCCACTTTAAGATGTTTTTTTCCTGTAGTTGGTTTATAAGGATTAGATTCGTTTTTACGAGGTGATCACGGAGGATTGATATCAGTCAGAGAGAACCATTGAAAACCAGTCACAGAGAGTACTGGACAGCTGTTTTAACCAACCAGTTTGTGAATCATTGGCAGCACGCACCCACCACAAAAATTTCAAAACCAGGAGCTTCCGGTTACAAGGTAAGCTCGTAGACCACGCAGCCACTGGGATCCGAATCAGTGGCACACGGGTCCTGGGTTCGAACCCCCCTGTTGTGGTTGTGTGCTGCCAATGATTCCCAAGCTAGTTGGATGAAACAGCTGTCCAGTACTTCAGTGCTGGTTTTCCAATGGTTCTGTAACTTATATCAAACCGTCATCAACCCGTAAAAATGCTTTTTCAATTAATATTATTATTATTATTAGTTTTCTCAGGATATGTGCAAGTCAAAAATTCATAGTAGAGTATTAATCATGGGGTGAAGTGTTCAAACTGTCTTATAAGTTTAGTTAGATCAGACATGTTTATGCTTGTTATTTAGTCCTATATGGTTTAACACATATGCTAAACTTATTTATTTGTTTTTTAAAAAAGTTCCTTGATGTCACTATAATCATGTGTTTGTATGTATTTAACCTTAAAAATCAAATTGTATAAATGGTTCCTTTAACCGATATCAGCTCATGATGAAATCGTCCAACCAATCAAATAGGAATCCCGACAAAAATCAATACCTGAAAATTGATCTGATGCTCACCAGCAACTGTACCTATTCAGTTAGGTAGTAACCTGAGGTTCTAGTGGGAAACCATGAACAGTAGGGTACAGCAGGTCGAAGGTGGGCACAGTTACTCTTCGAAGAAGACATTACGAATTGGTAGCTCTATGTCGTGCATGAATTGTCAGAAGTTACAATTCATTAGTTGGCCATTGGATAGGGTTCCAGTGGCCTAATGGTCTATGAGGTCGCTAACTTTGTAACAAGTATGTGCGGGGGGTTCGAACCCCTGTGATAGGTGCGTACTTCTGTGGAGTACCAAAAAACCAGGACAAAACAGCTGTCCAGTACTGCCTGGCAGGTTTTCCATTGGTTCCTCCAACCAATCAAACAAGATCCTTGTAAACCAATACTTGAAAATTGGGTAAAATAGAATGATAGCAGAGGAGCATTCAGCTGACGAGCCCTCTTACCGACATTTACGAATTGATTAAATACTGTTTTTACTTCACAGTTGTTACTGGTTTTAAAGTTATGATATGTATCCACATATATATATTTATGTGTGTGTGTATGTTGGTCTCTCTTTCTGTTTGCTCTCTTAGCCTGTGACAGTTTCACTTGTATGAACCTGTCTCTCTTAACAATGTATATTCTCCTTATATTATATATAATATGAGTGTTTGTTGACAGTCCGTTGCTTGGTGACATATATCCATATATGGTGGTTGTTGACATGTCTGCTATATTTTGCTATGTATATATGGATCGATACTTCATTATAATTAGCCATTCATGTTAAGACTGTCTAATGATTGTTCACACCCTTGTCATATATATATTTCGTTCTCACAATTTGTGTGACTTACACTGACTTACACTTACTTATTTTTGGTGTGATACCACTTATTGCTTCTCCTTGTGTTTGGAAAATAGAAGTTTCATAGCAAACCTAGTGGTCTTCAGATTTCCGCCTTCTTGTGTCAGGACTATTAGTTTCTCGACCAGTCCATAACAATAATTTAGCGACGAGGACATAACAAGTTACTACCACGAGAAAGACATAGCTTCAATTATTGTTATTATTGTGGGACGTCAGTGCAAGGTTGACATGGAGGAGATCGTGTGTAGAGGAGTTGAAACAATATGGACTAACCGACTTGGATGCGGGTGAAAAGTACAGCAGAAGGAAGACGGAAGTGGCAAGTGGAGACGTGCAGTTGAAGCCCTATGTTCCACTAGGAACCCAAGGGTGCAATAAAAATAAACAATAATAATTGCTATTATTAATATCAATATTTATTTCCACTTCTCCTTAACTTTCTTATTTTAGTAACTCTCTGAATACTCACGAAGTAAATCGTTACTCTAAATATGAAGCATCATTGATGAATTGTGTTCATTCCTATGAACAGAATCATCAACAAAAAGGAGATAAACACAAACATGATCATCATAAATCTACTCACAACACCGGCTGTCTACCATCATCTTCATCCTCCTCACCGTCTACATCATTAAAGTCCTCATCAACAACTTTATCTAGAATACCAACAGATACTTGTCAGCTAGTTGGCAGTTTACAACAAACATCCACAACATGGAATTCAGAAGAAAATCAAGTCAATTCTTCCCTGCTAAGATGTCCACATTGTAATGAAATTCAAAATGATAAAAATAACTTAGTAGATTCTAACACTGGAACAACAACACCAACAACAACGACAACAATAGTGCGTAAACCAACTCCACCAAAACGATCGCCTAAGACCACATTAACAAGGTAAATTCAACATGTGTATTTTGATGAAAAAGGCTCCTCACCAAGAATTTTTTCTGTTGTAAAAATAACATTAATAGCATTAGTTTTTGCAATTAATAGTGTTATCTAAGCTGGTTGGTTTAGTTGCGGAGCTTTCGTCGTCCCCCTGCTGGACAACATTCCCCTTCAGCGCCCTATTTATCATAAAGTTAACTGATATAAATTCTCCATGAGTGATAGAATTGCGTCTCCTGGTAACCATCTTTTCATATGTGTATTGACCATTTTCTATTGACTTGGATTTTAAACTTTCTGGTCACATGATTTACTTTTTATTAGTTGGTCTATTTGGTCTATATTAACGTGTTTGTTAACTGCATATTCGTTTGAGTACCATGCAGGCTTCCAGAGATCCCTTTACACTTTTGGTGTTTCCTCTGTCTAAGATTTCGACATTATCCCAGTCAAATTGATATCGATAATTACCTATATGCATTGATATGAAACAGAAATATATATCGTGTCTTTTCACGGTTGATTTATGTTCCTGGAGTCTGATTCGAAGAGGACGCCCACTTTGGCTGATGTAATGCAATTTATTTTGTAAATGGCATTAATTTTATCTCCTTTTTCTGTTGGATGTGTCTTTCGGTTTGCATAATATCGAATGAAGTGATTTGGCTGACTGGCTTGTGTGTGATATCTATATCAAACGGTTTCAATATTCTAGTTGTTATTTCAGAGATCTTTCTCATATATGGTAGGATGAATTTTCTTGTGTTCTTATATTCTTATAAAAAAGGCAAATGTGACGTCCTACATCGTTTATCCCTGTATCGATTGTCTCATGATCTGGATTTCTTGGATTATTTATGTGCTGTGTCATACATACTCGAAGATCTGTAAGCAGAAACCAACGAGAGAGGACATAGGTTAGGGAACCATTGGAAATCCAGCTGGGAGTGCTGTCAGACAGCTGTTTCATCAGCCTAGTTTACGAATCTACGGAAATACTCAACCACCACAGGGATTCGAACCCAGGACCTTCCAATGATTTCCTAACCGATGTCAGATCATGATGAAATCCTGTATTATATCATTATTATTATATCCTTTAATTCCTAGAGGAACTTAGGGCCTCAGATGCACGTCTCCAATGCCTTCGGTTCTCTGCTAGAGTTTTCACCTGGCTCCAAGTCTGCCCACATGCCTTCATCTCCTCTTCACACCACCTAATCTAATTCACCTTCGATCTGACGACCAACTAGCCGCTTCCCACTCTGTTGGGTTCCACTAGAGCAATGGCTTGTCTAGTGATGTCACTCACTTGATGGTTTCCTCAGAGTATGGCCAGCCAATCCATCTCCATTTCTTCCTGCATATTTGTTTCACAATCGGTTCCTGCTGGGTTGGTTCACCCACTGTTGGAGATCCCTGTTGCTGATCCTTTCTGTGCCACCATCTGATCTTGAGCGAAGACAACTGTTAATGAATGTCTGAAGTTTGTTTGAGGTGCTGTTTATGACGCGCTGGTCAAGTCTCTGATCCGTATAGCAAGTAGCACTGACTTCACATTGGAGTTGAAGATCCGGATCTTATTTTTTATGCTGAGTGATGAGCGTTGTTCTCCACACAGACTTGAGAGTAATGAAAGCTTGTCTTGCTTTTCCGATCCTCGCTTTGATATCCTCGTCAGTTCCGTCCGCCTGTAGTTGAAACGACGCTTCCCAGGTCGGTGGGTAGGTAAAGGAGGTTGTTTCTTTAAGGTTCCTCCCATTAACGCTGGCCGATTTTTATCTGTTGTTGTTATTGCTGTTGGTGTTTCCCAGGAATCTTCATCACCTCTGTTTTCTCTATGTTCACTTCAAGTCCTATCTTCTCTGAATGCTTCTTCTACCGCCAACTTGTTGCTTTTCACTCGCATATCTTCCTGTGTTTGTGGGAAATCAGACATACTTCACATCGGCAAAGTCCAGATCCTCTCTGTTTTTTGTGTGAGTCCATTTCATGCCTGTTACCTCATTGCCCACAGTCTGTTTGTCACATTACTCAATCTACTACAACCAGGAAGATCATTGAAGATAGTAGGCATCCAGCTTATCTCACTCCCCTCCTCACTTCGAAGGCTTCCGTTAGTTTCCCGTTTTCCCGTGGTCTGCAAACCAACACTTGAATACAAACTAAAATGATGGTATATGAAGCACTGAAGACAAAGATTTTAGTGAAAAAACAGCAGCAATCAGGACACCTAACCATTAATACAAAATACTGAATGACTATCAACGGAAGCATCTTTGCATATATGAGCGATGTCGATGATAGGATCAAAGCTAGACAGGATCGGAACACTATGACAGATCTTCGTTAATCTGAAGTAAATGTGGAAATCTACTCCAATCAGTATAAAGAAAAACATTCGGATTTTTCACACTCATTTCAAGTTAGTCAGTCTGTTACTAAAATCTACTTCTAACAGATTCCTACAGACTTTTGCCAAAATAGCTACCTTCAGTCCACAGCTGCAGATGAAATGGCTGATAGGGAATGATTAGCGCAACGAATCTGCCGAGGAATGGTATGGAATTTTGAAGATGAAAACACATTTTAAGCTCTCAAGTGACATCTGAATAGGAAAAGGCAATTTGAATGAAGTAGATGATAAGAAGAGGAGATGAGAGCTTACGGACAGAATCGTGGAACTAGCTAAAATGGATGATATGTGTTGTAGAAGCCGTATATTCCACTCGGAATCTCAGTTACTAGTAATAACAATCAGTTATCTCAGTCAACTTCATTCTATGCAAGCTTACAAGTGTAAGCATTTCACATACTTTCATTGTCTAATTGGATCAGTAGACGTTTGAAGTGAGAACAAGGGTTGCAGAATCAAAAGCTGATGCATAGATTTTAAGGGGTTTGGTGGGCTGCATTGACTTTAGGACGCCTCCTCATCTGGTGTCCTGACTGGAATAAACTAGTTGTTTGGGAATTTTGTCCAGTCTCAAAAAAATCCAGAAACCCAATAGCCAAAAAAAATGTTATTATTTCACAATTTGTTGAGACTGAAATAGGGAAGTCGAGTTGAAAACACAGACACACTCTGATCACAAATATCGCTTGACTACGCTGACAACATCATTATACGACAATTGTCTGTCCCATCCCAGCCTGCACTACTTAAACGTTAGCCGTAAAGTATATTTCAAGTAGTAATATATAATTGAAAATGCTACTAGAGATATGTCAAATAGTCTGCAATCATGAGCAATACAACAGTGAGTGTTAACTTACGTGGGCTAAATCCTGATTGGTTTATTTCCAGACTGGACATTGACCACCATATCAAAGTGAATTATTATTACTGTTCGCTTGGATTCCTAGTGAAACATACAGCTTCAACTGCACGTCTCCACTTGCCACTTCTGTCTTCCTTCTGCTGTACTTTTCACCTGCATCCATGTCAGTTAGTCCATACTGTTTCAACTCCTCTTCACATGATCTCCTCCATGTCACCCCTACACCGATGACCCACTAGCAGCTTCCCTTTCGGGTTCCACCAGAGCAATGGCCTGACACGCGCACGATGTCAACCAGCGGCCTCATCAACGAGTGTCCAATCCATCTCCACTTTCTCCTGAATATTTCTTGGGTGATTGATTGGTTCTTGTTTTGTTTGTTCCCATAGTTTCTTGTTGGTGATTCTTTCCGGACCGGCCATCTGATCTTCAGTATAGAGCCAGCGTAGACAGTTGTTGATAAAGGTTTCCAACAGACTGTTGGAAATATTTTTTGTGACCCACCTGCCAAGTTTCTGATCCGTATAGAAGAGCTGACTGACTGACTTGACGTATTGTATTGTATTGAAAATCCGACCGAATTTTGTTGTTGGTGCTGAGTGAGTGATGAAGATTTCCAGATTGGTTTCAGGTTAATGAGTGAATGTGTTTTTCGCCTTCCCGATTCTCACTCGATTTGACATCCTCGTCCGTTCCTCCTCCTGTAGTTGAGACAAAGCTCCCTAGCTAGATAAGTGAATGAAGTAGCCTCTTACAAATCCCTTCCGGTGATGGTGATTGACGCTGGATGTTGCTGTTGTTGTTGGCTGGTTGGTTATTTTTATAACCTCCGTCTTGTCTATATTCACTTGGAGTCCTGTCTTCGCCGGCTGCTTCTTCGATCAGTTTGTCGTTCGGTTTTCGCTTGTAAGTCTTCGATTTTGTGACAGTGACATCAAACATAAATCATCCACGGTCGAAATACAGGTCTTCTAGGTTCGTCATGTTGGTCCAGGATATCTCCCCTGTCTTCTCGTTTCCCACTCACTGTCTGACGCATAATCCAGTCAGTCTACCACAATTAGGAATATCACTGGTGATCATAAGCACCCTTGTCTGATTCCCGTGTTTACTCCAAACGCCTCGCTGAGTTTTCCGTTGTGGATCACTTGATATGTGCCGTTGTCGTACAGCTGTTGAATAAGGTCGATGAATATTTGGTGTAAGCCGTAGTACTCGAGTAATTTCGAAATTACTTCACGATCAACGCTGTCTGTCGAAGGCCTTCTCAAAGTCTATAAAGTTGAGGTGCAGGTGTGATTGCCATTCCATGCTTTGTTCTGTGATGATGATGCGTAGAGTTGCTGAATCCAGCTTCTTCTGGTCGGAGTTGTATATCCAGTGCGTCCTTCATTCTCTCCAGGATGATGCGACTCAGGATTTTACTTAATGTATATCTCTCTTTATTTCTGAGATACATAAATGAATGAAATCAACGTGATTTCTAACGAAATGTTTAAGACGCTTGGAAAATTAGGATAAATATGAGTGTGATAAAGAGCTTCTTAAAATCCTTTGGAATATTCATGATTGTTCATATGGTCACTTGCATAGACTTCAGCGAACTTCACACAATGAACTAGGAACCCATTTAGTTATTTTATTACCAAAGGTTACTTACCCTCTACTTTTCCGTTTGCTAAAAATACCCATCCACATATGGAAGCAAGAACAAACAGTTCAGTGGAGAGACACTTTTATCAATGATTATATATACAACCATGAATCTCCGAAGTGGTATTGGAAAGCTCCTCCTCCCAATCATATTTATCCCCACTTTAAATTTCTTGTAAGTCACTGGCATTCCCAATGACTGAATGGTCTACAAGCTCACTTTGTAACCAGAAGCTCTTGGGGTACAAAACATGTCAGTAGGTGCCTACCGCATTCTGAAGAGCCCCAAACTAGGACGAAACACCTGCTTGCTGTATTCCCTGGTTTCAGCCATATATATAGTCTCAGTTTGCTTATTTATTTAAGTCAGTTATTTCATTCTCCCTTTCTTTCCCTTCTCACAGTTGTACTCCATCTACAAAACCAGATGAATTCCTCAGCGATGATCAGTCTAGAATGAAATTGTCTCAAGTTCAAAATTGTTCCGTCCATAATGATGCCATCGAGAATGAAAATCGACAAGTTTGCTCGAATAGAATCGATGGCGATAGTAACCGAAGCCGAAATGAAAATCAAGAAGTCACTAACGTAACCGCCAGTCCTCCTACGACGGCTACTGCTACGAATATCGTCAACAGTAGCAGTAGCTATCATTGTGAAGCCGATGAACAACAAAGAACTACCACCACCACGACCAACATCACAACTACAACTCCTATAAATGATAAACATCCATCCCAGTCATCCTCATCTGTACATAACCCACTAAATCAAAGTATAGAGAATGCAGCTATGAATCAATTACATTCAATGAATGCCTATTGTCCATGCAATCTAACACATCATGGAGATGCTGACGCTGAAGTTATTCATATGACTGAATTACTATCAAAACGAAGAGAATCAGAAGCTCGTCGACACCTGCTACTAGCTGAAATGGAAGCTGGTCTAGAAAGAGATGATCGTCTACGAGCAGCTGCTAATGCAATGGCACTGGCTGCAGTCAGCAGTATTACTACACCACCAGATATGATCAACATTACGCATAAAGGCATAAAATGTTGTCATTGTGATTACCATAATGCTACTACCACTACTAATATCACGCCAACTAATGTACATAATAGTAGTCAAAAACACTACTTACTTTCTTCACATCCTCATTTACAATCAACAATAGATACAAAATTATCTGATTATAATGATTCCGTACCACCACAGCTGTCATCTTGTTCATCATGCTATTGCTGTTGTCCATCGGAGTGTATAAAAGAAGAAGATATTTTGATAGCATTACAAAAATGTAAGTTATGCAGGTACACTTTTTAAATCACCGATTGATAACATTGGAATACTAGACAGTGATTTCGTCCTTGTTTGGCACTCCTCATCAGTATCCACCTGAAACCTCACCCACCTAGGTAGGGGGTCAAACCCAAGATCTTCAGGTTATGAGGCAAGCTTGTCAGTTATTCAACTGCTGGGACCCGACTAAGTGCCTTGTAACCTGAAGGTCTTGAGTCCTATCCCTGTTGTTGGTGGTGGTGCATGTCACTGATGAGTGCTGGAGAGGGGGTCTCGAAGAGGGGAAAACAAGTGTCCAGTAGTCTAGTGATGGTTTTCAAAATGGTTCTCTCTAACTGATATCAATCGGGACGGGGGTGCAAACCTGAAACTAATCAGAAGAGAAGCGCTGTTTTATGACCACAGATGTCTTCGTTCTATTCCTTTTGCTAAGTGGTATAAAAATGATGAAGTGATATTAAGGTTACGTAATTTTTACTTTTTTGTTTCTTAATTGTATTATTTTCTTCCCCAACCCCTTTTATTAAATTTCTATCCCTTATAACCACTGTTTTTTTAACTTCATTGTCGTTCAAAATTTTATATTAGTTTGTTTATTAGATGTGTCATACAATGAAACTGTATTACTTACTGAATAACAAGGTTTCGAACAAAATTTATTGCTGTTCATAATCATGCCATCAATTGTAATCATGCGACTTCGAAACTTAAGTTTTATAGTTTTCTTTGTGTTCTCCTATTTGTCGTCGTAGGAGGAGTAGAATTTTCCAGATATCTGGATGGATAGGTGTTGAATCATTCCTATTATACGTATTCTCAGCCAGTTGATTCGATAAACAAAGCTTCTGTTATCAATCTTCCCCACTCGCCACCCTGTGATATTAGATTTTAAAACTCTCATCTAATCCCATCCCATTCTATTGTGTGGTTGTGTGTGTGTGTGTAACTACATGTAGTGAGTGGTATCGCTGAACTATTCTCTAGATTTCTTATCTTATTCGGGTCAACCAATCTAGATTTAGCTGCTAGGATTTTATGCCCTGCTAGTCTAACTGCACCTGTTCTACTAGTTTGGTTTCCAATGGTTCTCTAACCAATGTCAGTTCATGATGATTTCCTCTAACCAATCAACTAAATCCCTACAAACCAATACTTGGAGACATGATTTCTGTTGGTTGGTAGATCCTATCTAGTCATTTATGGGAACACTTACGGATCGATATCCGTCGTATTACGCTTCGGATTCACAGAAGTTCCACTTGATTTTATCTGGTGTTGTGGATGGTAACTTCACAGAATCTACGAAATAGGTAAAAACCAGTTCTGTTTCTAGAATGTAGGGACTACAGATGCGTCGGATGCGGGTGGCAAGTGATTTAATTAGGTTTCGCTTTTGTTGAATGCGTACCCAGCTATAGAAGTTGTCGTTAGTTGACCATTCCAAGTAGATTTTCTATGGATTGATCTTCTTAGGCTACCATCAGCTCTTCTTGTCAGTTCCACATCAAGAAATGGAATTTTCGACTCGTTTTCTATTTCAAGAGTGAATTTTATTGCTGGATGGCAACAGTTAAATGTCTTCAGTAGTAGATTGGGGTTATTGTTGTTGTTGTCACAAATAATGAAAATATTGTCCACGTATCTTTTATACAGTTGTCAGTTGTCGATGCTCGACTTTAGTTAACCTCTGTCGAGGCTTGCCACGAAGCAATCTGTTGAAGACATTTAACTGTTGCCATCCAGCAATAAAATTCACTCTTGAAATAGAAAACGAGTCGAAAATTCCATTTCTTGATGTGAAACTAACAAGAAGAGCTGATGGTAGCCTAAGAAGATCAATCCATAGAAAATCTACTTGGAATGGTCAACTAACGACAACTTCTATAGCTGGGTACCTGTTATGTACTGGTCGAGTAATTATTAGTCCTGACACAAGAAGGCGAAAATCAGAAAACCACCAGGTTCACGATGATACTTGTATATTTTTCAAAACAAGGAGGAAAATCAATGTCACACAAGTGTATGAGCGAATGTTCAAAAATGAACGAATCAATAGACAGTCTTAACATGTTTATTCCCTTTATGCATGCAGAAAGAAGCGGTTATCAGTCTTTCTTTGATCTGCCTGGTAACTGGATAATTTCACCTCTCTTTCCTCCGAATGCGAAATGCTAAAAGTTTCCATTGTGTTTGATTATTATTGTTCGGAAAAGCGGTTCATAGTGCATATTTATATATGTATATATTTTTAGTGTATGAGTATATTGATCGGTTGATTTTTGTTTAAAATGAACTCTGTGTGGGCAAGTATGTTAAAATTGTTGTTGTAGATATATTTAATAATGACTTTGGCATGTAAGCAGCTGACGAGAAGGCAACGAAATAAACACTGATGGTAGCATTTTATTCTGCTAAAACTGTAGTTCTTGCTTTGTTCAAAGTCTTAACATGATTGGTTGTAATGTCATGTGACAACAAAGTCAGACATGTTTGTTTAGTTAGTGGACAGACAAAACATATTGTCAATTACAATGGAATAACGATCCATATATACATAGCAAAATATAACAGACTGTCAAAAAAAAACACACATATTATGTGGATACATATCAGTCAGTGCCCATTCAACAAAAGCGAAATTTAATTAAAAACCAGTTCACAGTTGACTGAAGATGCCCATTAAAAATTTTGAAGAATGAGATTGATGAACAAAGATTACCCTTCTTCGATAACTTCTTTGTCATCACCAGGTTCCATGCTTATATGACCAGAATAATCAAAGGAATATTCTTATTAACGACATTAAATTATACTGAATCAGTCAATATTATCGATAGGTGATCACAGTTCACTTAAGCATCATTCCTTTACATCCCCAATGAAACATAGGGCTCCAGCCTAGGGGCTTGATGTTTTGGTAGAAGTGATGTTTGTTTTTAAGGAATGGGGTTACTAGCCTTATGCCCAACCTTCTCTCTTTACTAATCTTATTACTAGCTCAGTGAGGTAAAGCAGTGCGTCCGTGGCCGCGAATCGAACCCCAAACCATGTGTGGCATGGTTGGCGAGCTTTCTACCGCTGTACCACCGACGCACAAATAGAGAGATAATATGAATTAATATAATGCTTAACTGACTGAATATCGGGATAATTTAGGCGTTCAACAACAGACCAGGCTAACAGTAATGGCTAGATGGACCTGTTTCTTTCGCACACACACAGAGCTGTGCCTAATATATGCGAATTTTAATGACCTCTGCTATGGGCCACTGGCAATTTATTCAGAACCCGATAGATGGTATAGAAAGATTGTTCATTTCTAGCCTTGTGGCTTGTTTGGATGATGGTGATCTATTGTAGAACTTTTGATGGGTTTAATGAGTCATATACTACTCAATAATGTTTTAAGTAGCGATGTATTGACTTACAGAAATATTTACTTTCTTTATATTCATTTTGTCAGGTTTCTTCTCCTCTTCTTGTGGGTAATCATAGAACTTTCTTTTCACTTCCCTTCCCCTACCAACTAGCCTCCTCCGGTTTAGGATTCAGTTTAACTACAAGAATTATAAAGCCAAGAAATCCTGTCTTGCCGAATGATCCGTCTTCCACAACCGGGATAACACCGACATCAACAACTCCGCTGAAATCGGCAAATACCAATGAAGTTTTATTTGCTGTTTGTGTCAAAAATATCCTACCAGATGGTCCAGCTATCAAAGATGGACAATTGCGTATTGGTGATAGATTGATTCAAGTGAGCGCTTATATATGTATCGCTCTTTTATTAGTTATTATATAGTGATATAAGATTAAAACTTGTGCACTGTGGTAGAGTGTAATTCCATTATGAGTAAATTTTGTTTTGATAAAGTCTCACAGTGTTATACAGTAATGTTTACTGATGACAAGGTTTCGAGCACAATTTATTGCTCATAACCGTATCAAGGTACTCACACAACTTTCCGACTTCGTTGATACAATTCCATTATTTTTCATCGCTTTACTTGATTGCTAGTAGTATTTTCCATATTCCGGGTATGAGTGATAAATCATTTCTGTTGCATGTGCTGGGTGTAGACTCTGTGAACAAGGATTCAGTGACCAACCTCTCTCGCTCTCTCCTCTCACCAGAAACCCAGGTAACTACTTCCTGAATAGGGCTAGTCGCTCATGATGAAATCACGCAACCAATCAAGCAAATCCCCATAAACCAATACTCGAATACCAATGAGATGCTCACTGGCGACTGGCCCTATTCAGGTAGGTAGTTACCTGTGGTTCTAGTGGGAAGTTGTAACCAATTAGTGGTTACAACCGGTAGGGTGTGAGGACAAATCCTCTCCACCGATGATACTGGCTAGTCCGAGTCTCGATATACCGTGAGTTGGTAGAAGTTGGAATTAATGCCTGGTCATTGTATCGGTACCCAATGGCTAACCTGACCTCGTAACTGGAAGGTCCTGGATTCGAATCCCAAACTAGGCTGGCAGAACAGCTATCCGGTACTCCTTGGCAGGTTTTCCAACGGTTCCCTAACCAATGTCAGCTCATGATGAAATCCTGTAAAAAAAAACAGTAAGTTGGTTAGTTAATCAGTTAGAAACTCACTTATTTCGTATAGGGCAATGAGTCACACTCATTGTGTGTATGAGAACTAATAATCCTCCTTAATTACCCTCAGGCTAAAATGAGATGGAATAAGATTATGCATATAATCCATAAAGTATTGACTGTAAGTCAATTACTTAAGTCATTGAGCCATATACTCGAATATTTATTTTGCAAGATAACCAATGCATAATTAAATTTAACTTCCATCTTCCCATTACCCTGCTAAGAACATCAACTTAAAATTATTATTATTATATCATGTGAAATCAATCAGTATACCTTTTTGTGTCTAAACAAAACAAGGATGTATAAACGGGTGAAGTGAAGTGAAAGATACATAATAGGTAACAACAACACCTTGGTTGCTTACATCATTGAAAAGTTTAATTGAATTTCAGATTTTCCCCTCGACTGATTGATTGGACCGAAGTGCTTGGTCTCAAGTTGACATGTCTGTTGGCTTCTTGTGCAGATGCTTCGACGATGTCTGGGCATTTAGTTAGGATACAATTAGTGGATGGTGACTAGCAGTGGAATCCAGCCAGGATGCGCATTTCGTCCTATTTGGGACTCATCACCAACTGGATGTACCTTCATTTCTCAGTGAGTGATGATATTCCCTGAACAGAGGCTCAAACCCAGTACCCACAGTTTCAAACGCCAAAGCGTTATCCACTAGACGACTTCGGCCACGAGAGCCAACTCTTGTGCAACGGGTCATAATAATTTAATTGAATTTCAGATTCACTGAGAAATGAAGGTACATCCAGTTGGTGACGAGTCCCAAATAGGACAAAATGCGCACCCTGTCTGGATTCCACTGCTAGTCACCATCCACCAATTAAATATCATTTAAAAGTGTTATGAAAGCTTGCAATATCTATAAAAAAAATTGTATTACAAGTAGTTAGTCGACATTATTATTGTTACGGTTTCCGCATAGTCTCTCGTCACCTCCCCATCACAGGATATCCTCCATTTCACACTTGGATCCACAACGAATTGTTCCTTTCCACTCGAGCAGTGGCCTGGCAAGCGTGATCACCCAGCTGTCTCCTCAGTGTGTATCCAGTATGTCTCCATTCATTTTGGCTTGATTGATTCGTTGCCTCCTAGGGTTTCTTGTTGCTAATTCTTTCTGATCGATGGGCCACCTGTACTTCAGTATAGGTTCAGTGAAGTTTGCAGTAGCCTGTTGGAAATCTATTTCTTAACGCGTGTATCAAAGTTTCTCAGTCATACAGAAGGACTGACTGACTCAGCATTGGTGTTGAATATCCAAATCTTGTTCTTTATACTGACAAGAAGTGAAGAAGATTTCCAAACTGACTCCACAGTAATGACAGTCTTATCCATATCGTCAACTGCGATTGAAACGATGGTGGTGCCTAGATAAGTGGAGGAATATAACCACTTCCTGATTTATTCTCTTGACAGTGAATGGCGCTGGTTTTTTGCTGTTGGGGGTGGTGGGGGTGGTGGTGGTTGGCTGGTTGGTTGGTTATTTTCATCACCTCTTTCTTCTCTATGTTCACCTGGAGTCCTGTCTTCGCTTCCTGCATCTTCTTCTTCTTCTAGCATGTTACTTTACATGTTACTGTAAGTGTGACATTGGACATAAATTGTGTGCGAAGTTCAGATCTTGTAGAGTCTTTTTATTGGTCCAAAGTATGCCTGCCTTCTCTCAAAGTGAAAAGATCCCCATTTAGACATTTAGAAAACAGAAAGATTGAGCGAGCGAAGAAGAAATATTTACTTTTCAATTAGATCTTCATCTCTTTCTAATTCTACTCTAATTTACGTCCATAGCATTTTTATGATTACAATAAACAACAGTTTACCAATCATCAAGTGGCACTGATATGTTTGTTAACAATAATTAGACCGTCAGTGTCAAAATGTCAAGCAAAAGGGTGGTAATTAACGAAGAAAAATTAATACACACAATTAAAAGGTAGAAATGGTTAGAATAAATTTATTTTACAAGGATAACACGTAAATTAAAGATGATTATTATATTATTATTATTGTATCCTTTAGTTCCTAGAGGAACATAGGGCTTCAGCTGCGCACCTCCATTGACTTCGGTTTTCTGACAACTTTTTCACCCTGCTCCAGGTCTGCCCACATGCTTTCATCTCCTCTTCACATGACCTCCTCCAAGTCACCCTTGGACGACCAACTCGCCGCCTCCCTTTCGGGTTCCACTCGAGGGCTTGTCTAGTGATGTCACTTGATGGTTTCCTCAGCGTATGGCCAATCCATCTCCATTTCTTTCTGCCTATTTGTTTCACAATCGGTTCCTGATTGGTTCGCTCCCAGAGATCCCTGTTGCTGATCTTTTCTGGCCATCTGATCTTGAGTATTGAGCGGAGACAGTTGTTAATGAAGGTTTGAAGTTTGTTTGAGATGCTCTTTATGACTCGCCAAGTCTCTGATCCGTATAGTAGCACTGACTTCACATTGGAGTTGAAAATCCGGATCTTATTTTTGATGCTGATTGCTGTTGACCTCCACACAGATTTGAGAGTAATGAAAGCTTGTCTTGCTTTTCCGATTCTGGCTTTGATGTCCTCGTCAGTTCCGCCTGTAGTTGAGACGATGCTTCCCAGGTAGGTGAAGGAGGTTGTTTCTTTCAGGTTCTTCCCATTTATGCTTATTGTGGTCTGTTGTTGCTGTTGATGTTGGCAAGGAATCTTCATCATCTCTGTTTTATCTATGTTCACGTGAAGTCCTATCTTTGATGCTTCTTCTGCCAACTTGTTACTTTTCATTTGCATATCTTCCAGTTTATGGGAAATCAGACATATATCATCGGCGAAATCCAGATCCTCCAAGTCTTTTGTGTCAGTCCATTTTATGCCTGTTCCCTCGTTGGTTGCCGTTGTCTGTCGCATTATCCAATCAATTGCAATCAGGAAGATCATTGGTGATAGTAGACAGCCTTGCCTCACTCCCGTCCTCACTTCGAAGGCTTCCGTAAGTTTCCCGTTGTGGATTACTTGGCATGCAGCATTGTCGTATAACTGTTGGATGAGGTGTATAATTGTCGATGGGACCCCGTAGTAGCGAAGTAGTTTCCAAATGACCTCTCGATCGACGCTGTCGAAGGCCTTTTCAAAGTCGATGAAGTTGAGATAGAGAGGTGACTGCCATTCCAAGCTTTGTTCAATGATGATCCGTAGAGTGGCGATTTGATCAATACATGATTTGTTTCTCCTGAATCCAGCCTGTTCCGGACGAAGTTTTTCATCTAGGGCTTGTTTGATTCTCTCCAGGATGATGCGACTTAGTATCTTGCTTGGAATGGACAGAAGCATAATTCCACGCCAGTTTTTACATTGACTTAAGTCTCCTTTCTTTGGAAGTTTGAATAAGTAACTGTTCTTCCAATCCTCGGGTACTTTGCCCTCTTTCCACACCTTCTCCAGTAGTGGTGTCATCAAGTCCGCTGTTGTCTCTGGGTCTATTTTCAAAGCCTCTGCTGGGATTCCATCTGGTCCCGGTGTTTTCCCAGTTTTAAGCATCTTGATTGCATTCAGGACTTCTGATTTCGTCGGGGGGTCAGTGTTCACTGGTAGTTCTGCTTCCGTTGTTGGTATTGCTGGACGTGTTGTAGGTGGCGGACGATTTAGAAGTCTTTTGAAGTGTTCAACCCAGTGCTTTCTCTGTTCCACCTCTTTGGTGATTGACTTTCCATTGTCGTCCTTTATTGGCTTAATCTGTGTCGAACGTTTGCCCGAAAGGTTCCTAGTTGTTTGGTAGAGTGTGGCGAGGTCTCCTTTGCCTGCAGCTTGTTCTGCTTCGTTTGCCATGGTTTCATAATATTTTCTTTTGTCTTCCCTGGCACTTTTCTTCACTCTTTTGTTCAGTGTATTGTAGCTTGCATTCAGCTCCTGTTTTTGTTGCTCGTCGTGCACTGGATAATCTTTTGCTTCACTGTCCTTCTCTCTTCTATTAGTTTCCAAGTGTCCGTAGTGAGCCACTGTTTGTCCTGTCTCTTTTTTCTGCCTAGAATTTCTATGCAGGTTTGGCTCCACACCGTTTTCAAGTTGTTCCAGTGCTTTTCAACGCCGACCTCTTCGCTAGTGTTGATTTGTGTCTCGGCTTTGTCCTTTATGCTTGCAATGAAGATGTCCTTTG